TTCCATAAAATATCGTATCAACGGTCGTGTTTGAAGTAAGGTTGGAACGCAAGTTGGAACGTGAGTAGGGTCGCGACTACGGCAGTTAGGATTTTGATTGAAGCCGTCTACTTTTGTGGTTCATCTTAAAAGACAGAATATTGTTGTTATTTAATTATTATAGTTATCATGGACATTAAACAAAAACGTTTCTGGGAAGAGTTTATTGAATTATATAGGGAAAACAAATGCCTATATATTGAAAGGGATTCTTAAACACATATTTTTTCCTTGCCCAGTTAAAATTTAAGTTGTTAAGAAGCTTGAAAACTTTAAGTTAATAAATATGTTTTTTTTATATTTTTCTGATATTTTGTATAGATTTGAAATACAGACATAAAATACAAAAAAAAATGTTTTTACTTACCTTTAAATAAGTCGTTTTCAGTGCATCGTTATAGCCTTACACGTCTCTGGTATAATTTCACCTAACGCTTGAGGTGAAATTCCTGTTCTGAATTTCAGATCTTCATAAGAACATCCTGTCGCCAAATATCTTAATGTGGCCACTAACCTTTCTCAGCAGATATTGCTTTTCTCATAATTGTATCTTTCTTAGTTATTTTATCATGAATTAAAGTCAGCAAACAGGTATATGTATCAGAATCCATCCTTAAGGAATTTTTGAAGTCGAGGGGCTCTTTTTCTTCAAGTTCCTTCAATAAACTCATATGGGAATATTTGTTTCTATCCAAGAACCACTGTTTACACAATTTTCTCTTTTTAGCTTGTTTCTCATCATCTTCTTCAGTCGATAAAATCGGAACTATAAAGGCAGCAGTTTTTCTTTTTGAAAGTCGCGAAGCCACACATGTTTTCGTTAAAAAATAGATACTATGAACAACACTCTAGTTACTGTGACATGCCACAATTTGATGATCTGCTGCAGTACGATGCATTGCACTGTGTGTAGGGAAAATTGCAGTACTGCAAGCAGTACCATTTTTGATACTACATACGGTTCAATATGCAGTATGATGCATTGCACTGTGTGTAGGAAAAATTGCAGTACGGCAAGCAAAACGATTTTTGATACTACATATGGTTCAATATGCAGTACGATAAATCGTTACGTGTGTGGGCCGTTTTATTCTTACAGCACTTGAAAGTTCCAAACGACATAGCTGTTAATATTAAATGGGAAATTTCATAATTCACATTTGAGATACCATGTAGCAGCTATTACTTATCAGATTTGTAACTAAAAACAAACATTACAGGTTTTCAGTTGTTTATGTTTCGAAAACAAAAAACACGAAAAGGTAGATTTTGATTGACTCAGTTGGATAAATTGATTGATGGTTAATAGTAAATTGTTTATCGGTATAACTGTTAGTCACTTCTATTAGATCACAGGTTTATAATTTATAATTATTATTTTGCACGAAAACACTAAGAATTCGCACGATTTATGAGCCAATGTGTAACGTGTCACTCACTACGTTAGTATGGATAAAACTAACTATAACATAATGATAATGATAATGATATTGATTATAACAATAGTGCTTATTTGGACCTTATTCTACCAGCTAATCATTTTCGTTCAAAGTTAATAGCCATTTCTAAACTCGCTGTGAAACTGATGGCAGCCTACGTATACAGTTAGATGCTGTAGGCGTGACTGAACATTTCCCTAGCTGTTTGCTGACAAGAGGTATGATCGATGTTTTGGGGGGCAAAGGGATATGAATATGTAGACATGTGTATATCGATGCGGGTCACTATCTAGGAACTATTTGGAACGTCGCTGGAGCTGTGCTTATATATGTAACCTAGGAGCTAAAGGAAAGTGAAAGATTTAGTAAACTAGTTAATTCAAAAAGAGATTAGAAAAAAATTTCCATTTAATTCGGCAATGTTTCGAAGTTAAAAAATGCACCAATTTTTACTGAAGCTGACTGCCATTCTGACAATTATTCGACATCATACAAATAATCGGCAAATGCCTTGAAAACATTATAAAGCTCAAAACTCAGCGCAATTAAATTTTAGCACATATATCAGCCATATTGGATCCATCATTTTGATCGATACTAAATTCGTTATCAGCGACCCTTAAGAAGTAAGCAATTCAGATTCGAGAGCAATCTAAACATCTTTTGCAAACTTACCCATCATTTTGGATTCGACATTTTGATTTTGAATTAATTGAAATCTAATTCCCATTTTACATTGACAATAAATCTATGAATTTCTTCATCAATTAAGTTTTTGATATTTAAACTCAAACCCTTATATGTGCCATGATGTTTTTTTGTTATAAGAAATACCCAAACATTCATATGTCTATTTAAATTTTCCGATGAAGCAGTTTTGCTATTTCCTCGGTATTTCAAAATTGGACGAAATCCAAGTTAAATAGATTTATCAACATGGAAGCTCATTTGGTTGAATTTCGGAGGCAGTTAAAATCGATCGTTAACTGTACAACATATACGAAAAACTAAAAATATATATTGATTCCGGCCTACAGGTCTACAAAATGATTTGTTTGTATCTTCTATACACGTTAATAACGCGAAAATATAAAAAACATTGCAAACAAAAGAAGTTTCTTTCTCTGACAAGAGGAATTCTACCTTAGTCAGGTATGCGATCAAGAATTTTCGTCTCGTGTAGCTACAAACGAATAAAGTTTGGTTAACTCAGGTAAATAGGGACGCTAAATATTAATTTAGCTACCTCAGTGTTGGAAACAAGTGGGTTATCTAATTGATTGTTCTCTGGAATTGTCTTCATTAGGTATAAAAAACGGAATAGCAAGATGTCTCCAACTTATCTAAGAAATTTTCTCATTTGTTTCGCACTAGCCACGACAGTTGATTTCAGAATCGACAATAAGTGCTGATAAAATCATGCTTATCATCTTCCTTGGGTATCAATTAGTGGGTGTACACATTTTTACGTCTCTCCATATGTGACTTAGATGTGATGCTGACAGGCTGGACATACGGACTGTCATAAATATTCCCAGGGTAGAAAGTACATCCAAAAATAACAAAAAAGGTTCCCATAGTTATGAGCCCAAAGATGTTTTCCTTTCAAGATACAGGGTGATGAAATTTTACTTACGAATTTAAAAAAAAGTCATATGTAATATAAATAATCCATTTGCAACTGTAACGGATGCTGTTATTGATACAGCATTTCCTGCCTCCCAACCTACCGCCAGCAGGAGAGTAATGAAATCTGAACTAAAATGTCACCCTGCTGCGAAAAAAATGTTTCTTAACGAAGAACGGCGACAATCAAGGATTACTTTTGCTTTAAATTATATATACCGCAATCCTCAATTTTGGAACAGGGTCATTTTTACTGATGAAAAGACGTTCCAGTCGACTTATAACGGCCAAATTCGTGTTTACCGTCCAAACAACACCGGGTTTGAAGAGCGATATACTAACCCCCTCAATTTTAGACCTGGGCGTTTCTCTGTAAATGTATGGGGCTGGATAAGTGTTCATGGACCTGTTGTTTGCTGGCGAATAGAGGGAAGATTTAATGCCGGAAATTACATTAACATTTTAGAAAACATATTGTTACCAAGTGCTGAGCAAATACATCCCAATAATACGTTCATATTTCAACAAGATAATTGTCCAGTTCATACGGCCAATGCTGTAACCCACTGGTTTCAAACCCATAATGTGGAAGTGCTGCCTTGGGTCGCTTATAGTCCCGATATCAATCCAATCGAAAATATTTGGGGTATAATCGTAAAAAAAATATATAATCGAAATTTTAGGCCACAAAATTCAGAAGATTTATGGGAAATAATACATGCGTGCTGGGAAGAGCTTGATCCAAATATTGTATCAAATATAATTCAGTCAATTCCGAATAGACTGGCTCAAGTAATAAAAAAACAGGGATATATGACCAAATATTAGATTTTATTTATTCTTGTTAATCGTTTTTTGTTTCTATTGTAATTTTTATAAAACTGTTAAGATGTAAAATAAAGAAATACATTTTTGTTACTGTATTGAACTAATGCCCGACGCCCATGCTTTGCATTTTTAATAACCTTTAACATGCGATAAGCCGGTTTTACGCAAATAAGGTTAAGGTTTCCTCTCATTCTAATTCGTGTACGCTTTTTTTATGAATACAACTGTATGTAATGTTTATTGTTGTCGAATTTAATTTTTATTAGCTTTATTTATTCTTGCAATGAAAGTTTTCTTTTTTTTTTTGAAGTTTCTTTATCTATAAACGGAAATGAATATGCCGGGAAAACCAGTGGCGTGTACAGGAAAGGTTTAATGGAGTGATTTGACAAAAAAGTTCTTATGATACAAAATTTATGGAAAATTGAATGGTTTTTTATATAACGCACTCCTTTCCTCCATATGGACCAGTGGCGTGGAAAATATTTCCTATTAGGTGTCCAGGTGTCCCTGGTTTAGTTTGGGCCGGGAAACTGTTTGTGTTTACTGCCTATGGTGTGCTCACTTAACGTCTAAAATCTTAATTCAGTATCTTTACCCGCTTCGTAGATATATTTTTTTTATTTCGTAAATAAAACTTCATCACCCTGTATCTTGGTAGGGGACCATATGTGGACCCATACTTACAGGAACTTCTGTTGTTATTTTGGGATATTTTTTTACTCTAGAAATATTGGCACGCCTTAAAAAACACCCTATATACAGGGTGTTCAAAAAATATACTGAGATATTTTAGAGGGTGATTCCTTGTTTAAAATATAAAAATAATTTCTATAAACATGGGTCCGGAAATGCAGCGTTTTCAAGATACAAGGTGGAACTTGGTAATATTTGTTATATTAAGAGGCTAGTTTCAAGAGAAAACTCTGCATTTCCGGCCCCATGATTATTGAAACTTTTTTCATATCTTTTAACAAGGAATTACCCCCTAAGGTATATCCGTCAATTTTTCGAACACCCTGTATAGAGATCTTATCTTACAAATCTTCTTTCTTGGCAGGATTCCACATGGCTCCAAAACTGAGCGAAATCTTCCCCGAGTCATGCCTGTTGATCTTCGTTGGCCTGCTTATCGGAGTGATTTTGGTCCACGTGACCGACAGCGTACATGTGTCTCCACTTACGCCGGACACCTTCTTCTTCTACATGCTTCCGCCCATCATTCTGGACGCTGGGTACTTCATGCCTAACCGGCTCTTTTTTGACCATCTGGGCACGATACTGCTCTTTGCGGTCATTGGGACTATATTTAATGCGTTAACTATCGGTAAGTCTAGGCCGCAAAGTATTAGAAAATTAAATAATCCGAATTAATTTTGAAAATTAAACATGCTGCTTTCGACTGACCGACCAAAAACAGCCAACCATGGACAGCTGTTTCTGACTTTTTGGCAATTAGTCAGCATGGTCTAGGCTTGTTGTCTTGAACAACGAACGGAAGCTTAGCACCTAACCCCTATCCAAGATGGTCGATTCGGGTAATATATGGCGCCTTGCGCTATCTTATTTACATTGGACATAGGATAGTTGCTACATTTTCGTTCGTTGTCCCAGAGACCAAGCGAAAACTATGCTGATGAGTTGCCAAAAAGCACGAAGTAGCTGTCTATGGTTGGCTGTATTTGGTCGGATGAACGAAAGCAACATGCTTAGTGGTTCAATGGCGAATAGACCACATCTACTGCACTGCCAGAATCATCAGCCTCTAGCGGTCACAGTGATGACTGGGCTATCAAACGTGAACTGAGATTATTACAATTCCAAACGATAGCTGCTATACACTCTCGCAGAGGTGGACTCTCGTAATAGATGGCTCTTTGCGCTGTCTATTTGTAAAGTTGATATTACGTAGGTATTTGCTTTACGAAAAATGTCATTGTCTTGTTCTAGGTGCTTCCCTGTGGGCAGTAGGTTTGACTGGTCTGTTTGCCTGTGATACTCCTCTTCTGGACATGTTCCTTTTTGGATCGCTCATTTCGGCGGTCGACCCCGTGGCTGTGCTCGCTGTTTTCGAGGAGATACAGGTTGGGAAACTATATCTACTCATTGTGTATGTGTGGGTGTGTGTGTGTGTGCGTGTGTGTGTGTGTGTGTGTGTGTGTGTGTGTGTGTGTGTGCGTATGTATTGCATTAGTTGTAGGAAATTCCGCATAATATTTACCAGGGTTGTGGGGACATTATGTACTCTGGGGACATACACGTGTCCTCACAGTGTTTCAGCCAGATAACTGCGAAGTTTAATGAATTATTCTACCCAAATTTCGCGGGCTCCTAGGTGACGTTGCGTTTTGGCTCCAGAATCATGTTCAATTATGGATATAAGCAAGGACGGTTACTGTCCCCACAGCGCCGGTAAAATTCATGTGTGCGATACACCAGACTGTTGCAATACTTGTGAGATCAAAAAAATATCCTGTAAGCTAGCGCCCTCTGCAGTAAATTATTATTCAAGTTGGTTATCGAAGGCACAGCATATAACACATTACTGCTTTGAGCTGTGGGAACAAATACTGGGAATGTGAATACTAGTGTGATTTTAATGGCAGAAAATATCAAACTAGAGAACAGTCATATTGTTGCTAATTGATATTTTCTTAAATTGAATACTCATGAGTACTGTGTGAATCTAGAATAGAAAATCAGTATGTTTCAAAATTAGGGACTGTCAGGTTGTCAAAGTTGGACATTAAATAGCCTATATCAGCAACCAATCATCAAAGCACTATTGTATATTCTATTAATGTTCTTCCATTGGAAGGGTCTATCCGGATATGTAACATTCCATTAAAACATTTTCAGTTAAAATAAAAAGATTGATATAACATACTATAACGCTTAGATGTTTATTTGAGTTATAAGCTATTAAATGTACAATCGCGCTTAAGCGCCGTTTTCCTAGCGGCGGGATATATTCCGCAGCGGCTTACCGAATTCCGCCTGCCAATTCGGTCTAGTTGTGCGGAAGCGGGGAGTGTTTTCCAAGCAGCGTTCAATCGCAGCCGAATCATGTCGCGGAGTGGACTATCTCGTACCCAGAAACTTAGGATATTGGTGGCCTATTACAAGTATTTTCTTCAAAAGTCTGGAGAGGAGGAGAATTATCTTCTCACCAAGTACGGGAAACGAGATGAAATCCACAAGATGTTTTTACGGAGACAAGAAGAAGGAGCTTTCAACGTGTTAATAAGGAATCGTCTGATTGATGATGAGACGAAGTTTGTTGAATTCTTCAAAGTTACTCGTGAAAAATTCAATTATTTGTTATCTCTGATCGAGCACAAAATGGAAGTTCATGCCTACAACCGAGTATCAAAGCCCATAACAACAGCAGAAAAACTGGCTGTTAGTTTGAGGTAACTGGCCTTAAAATATATACTACCTGAGTAGGAACCTCTTTATTTGAAATATTTTTGTACATTGTGAGATTATCTCAACTTTATTTTAAAACTGGTCGATTGTAAATCCCATGGCATTTGAAATAAACACCTCATCGGATCCATCTGGTTCTGGTTCAGGTACTGGTGTTGAGCAATAAGAAGCACCTGATGATGAGGTCAATTGTAAATCCTGGCGATGCCTATTTATTGACTCATATTGCATTACAAGTGAGAATATTTTAGTTTTTAGCTCATTCGCTACATCTTGATTCATACGCTTCACCGTCAAACTGATCGATTTAAAAAATAAATCAGTTTCGTCTTCAACTTCACCGATTTTATCGAACATGTGCGCAAATTGCCCTCGGTCCTCCTGTCTCGCGTTAAGCAATTCGGCTACAGCCTGGTCTTTTCTTTTCATTTTCTTCGGCGGAGGCTTGTTGAGTGGTCTTTGACCAGGACCAGAAGCAGTATGATGGTTGGAGGCAGGAGCTGGGGTAACAGAAGGGCTGGCCACAGATGACGAAGGTGGGGAGGCAGGAACCATGATGCCGTATTATCCTTCTCTGTAGATGAAGCATTATTTGCTACTGCAGCAGTCTCTTCGGAGTTTGATGATGGTCCTGGTTCGGAAACAATGTTCGTGGTCGTTTCTCTTTCATCGTGGACTGGGTCTGAAAATTCGAGCCGATCCCAATAAGCAGCTCTTCTCTTGCCGGCCGCGGAACCAGTTGTACATGGCTTCCTTTGTTTTCTGTAATGGTAACTAACGTTCCTCCATCGTTGTTTGCATTGGTCTTCTGAAACACAAATGTTCGAATCATTAGTTTTAGGTGAGACCATGGATCGTATGAATAAAGTGTAGTAAATGCTTTTGCTCTACATTTTTTATTACACGTCTTTGAATTGTACCAGGTATCTTGCAACTGGAGAATCCTTCCATTCATTGCAGTTTTCTCATCGCATATCAGCGTGTACAATATCTAAGTTCATTCCCCTTGTGCTGAAGGCGCTCAAAGAAACATTAGTTCCTATTTTTCTACCCCCTCCCGGCCAAATTAATTGGGCAGAAAAGGCAGAGGAGTTTTGGGACCTATGGAAACTTCCTAACGCAGTTGGAGCAATTGATGGAAAACACCTGAGAATTGTATCACCCGACAACTCGGGATCTTTGTTCTTTAGTTAAAAAGTTTACTTTTCTATTATTCTGTTAGCAATAGTAGATGCCAAGTATCGGTTTCCTATTGTGGAGGTTGGTGCCTATGGTAAAGAAGGAGATGCTGGAATTTTAAAAAAATCAAAAATGGGCCAAATAGTAGAAAACGGATAAATTTTCCCCCACCAAAACTATTGCCACAATCTGATATTTTGTTGCCCCATGTTTTGCTAGGCGATGAAGCTTTCCAATTACACGAGCATATGATGAAGCCATATTGCAAGCGACAGGCTATACAGGATGGGGACAAAAGGAGTTTTAATTATCACTTGTGCAAAGCACGAAGAGTTACTGAGAACGCATTTGGGATAATGAGCTCTACTTTCAGAGTATTCTATACACCTATCAACATAAAACCTAAAACTGTAGACTTATTGATAATAGTGTGTTGTTGTTTACACAATTTTATAAGGCAGCGTTTCATCAACTCTTCGCCATTAACAAACCCTGCTGATATACGAGAACATAATTTTGAATCACCGACGAGTAACATGATTCCTCTGGCTGGCGTAGGGGGCTTCGCAAGATCGCAAGGCTTCCAGGTGAGATCCCGATTCAACGAGTATTTTTCTCGATTTCACAGAATACAATGATAACAATTGATCATTTTTGCTATTGACTGTACACAGCACATGTACAATAAATGATAAATAATACTTACTAGTCTTATTCAACATTCTGGACTGGCAAGATTCCATAGGTTTTCTTTATCTGCTACGTAGTTAATTAATTGTTCGTCCTCGGAAGCCGTAAAAGTCATAATGTGAGCGGGCTAGACTGCTCTCGGAGCACACAGGACAATCCCGCCGACCGACGCCGCCGACCGACAGCCCGTTCGCGCCTCTAGGAAAACGCTCACGTGTTTTGCCTATGATCGAGTGGTAGCGTCACTCCGTCGGCCGAATTCGGTAAGCCGCTGCGGAATATATCCCGCCGCTAGGAAAACGCCGCTTTAATGTTGACAGCGTGCCGGTTTGCTAGCTTGAACGGTAGCGACTTTATATCCTAGGGTTATGGAGTATTCATAAGACACCAAATGGTGCTTCCTCGCTATCTTAGAAATTTTCAACTGTTATTTTCACGGTATGGTATTCATACGTCAATTTAATCATCGTAATTTCGCTCGCCTGAATAAAAATAGATCTAGGAAAAAGACATGTCACTCGTTTCCGTCGGCCTGTCTTCCTGCCCCTGAATACATGGACCACCTAAAAGCTGAGAAGTACTATTCGGATTTTGATGAAATTTTCACAAAAAGTTATTAATTCATCAAGAACTAAAAAGCTTAATAGTTACAGAAAATCGGACAGTGCCGGTAGTGCTATTGACAAAAGCAAAAAAAAAATAAAGATAACTCAAACTTCGTTTTTGGACGTTTTAGAGGCCCTTAGTTATTTTCGAAAAAAAAATTGTAGAGGTTGAAAATCGGGGTTGGGGGTTGTAGGGGGTTAAGGAGGGAATGTTACAATTTGATGGCACACGGATATTTATAAGTTTCCAACCCCAGTCATTCAACGCAATTATTAGTATGCATTATTCCACATGTCATAGATTTCTTCGTACATTTACCCGTAAAACTTAAGAATACAGAAAAATGTCTTGGCCGGCGTGACAGTGTCTCTCATAGGGGTCATTCTGTTACCGCCACGCGCACGCTGCCGAAATCACGAGTAGGTTCATCTAGAGGGGATCGATGGGATAGGGGAGACGTTGCCAGGTGGACGGTACAACCGTTAGGGCAGGAAAAATATGTCTATGGACTAATTGTATGGGCCTCTTTGACTGACTCAGTGCATTTAATTTCTATTTTACACGTCCGTAGGTAACTTTTTACTGCCTACGCCACTGTTAAGGAAGTGTAGTAATTGCTAAAAATTAAGAAAATGAAATATTGTTTTTTGGATGTTATATGGATGTAGTCACGAAAAACCAATCTTGTCAGCTGTGACCTGAAATGCTTAGAAATAAAATGATCATAATCTAACTGATGACAGAATTGCGTGAAAAGTACAGTCGATCTACTTGAAACAATTTTATTCACATTTTTGGGGAACACACAAGACAAACCTTTTGAAAAAGTTACGAGCCGTAAGCACTCATACATATACGCAAACCAATGGCCGAAATTCATCACACGAATTTAACATGTACATTTGCCAAAGAAATAGTAATATATTCAGTTCTACTCAAACAGTATCAAAAAAATATGCTTAACTGAGATTAATGACTTAAATCAGTTTCAACATAGATTTGGAGAGAAAATGTACAGAATAATCACATAAAATACTGGGAAAGTTTCTAAAAAAACTAAGAAACAAGCAGTAGTACACAAAAGAGAAAAGGTAATTTAAGCCGTACCAATAAAGTAACTAATGGAATAAACTTGCAAATTCAAAAACAGTGTGAAAATCGACGAGAAAAGCAGTGATAACTGCTTCCCTCATATATGATTATAAGACACAATAAAAATGGTTTCCACAGTTCAGCTACAGCGTGGTTTTTTATCGCTGAGGCTAAGCTACGTGGGTATACTAAAATACTTACTACACTACATGCGGTAGCATCAAGTTGTACTTTTCAAACTGACGACAGCGATCAATTTGTATTCCATGAATTCGAAGCTTACGAAACATAGTTCGCCACGCAGTGAGTTTAATCGGATCCATAAATAAGTGAGATTCAATGCTCAGACATCTATTCATATATCCAAGAAATTCACTTTTCAAAACGCATTGATGAAGTTACCTGACAAAATACAGATTAGCGAGCAACGAAATATCGATGGAAATATATTTCAAGACAGTGGCCAGGATAGTAGCAACGAATACGTATACCTAGGCCAAAAAACATAAGAAAAAGTATACGAACAAATAGACATAGGACAATAATACGCTTACGAAAAATAACAAAGGAGAACATACCAAAATCAAGATAACCCAAATAGAAACTACCTTTTAAAAATATCAACGTATTGACCATTGAAAATAGGATAAGTTTTGTATAAGATTCCAAGACATCACTTAAGTGCTCTATAAGGCTTTTGTAATGAGTTAATCGCGGTTGGCCATGGTGGAAATAGAACGAAATACTAAATATATCACGCTGTAGCCGCGTCATGGCAAATCAACAAGGAAGCCCTCCGCCTCCCATTTCGCTCAAATTTGGATATGCTGTAATTAATCGAAAAATATAAGCCACCTATTTTTTCATCGGCTGACATGCACTCTAAGAGGGTGAAAGCCACCCAGAAAGTTCACCCCTAAAATCATCTTTGTATATCTTTGGTTCTATTCAATATTTTTGAAAAAACAGAAATCGAAAATATTAGTTTGTAAAAAGCGCAACAAAACTGTACAGGTTTTATTTGCCAAGGTTGCAGCCCCCACATTTTATAGTGGCTTTCGAGCGTTTTTTTGCGTAAAAAAATTGAAAATCGTCATACAAATATTAAATGAAGGTTTTCTAATCGACAATGATGCTTTCTAATCTAATATTTTATTTTGGGGGTAAACTACCCATAAATACTATTCAAACCATATAGATCAAAATGCGTCATTTTTATATATGTTAGCGCAAAATATGTGACACAGATTAGCATATTGTGCATTAATAGTAATTGGAGGGATGAAAATCACCCTTAAAAACTACCTCCTAATTTTTTTGCCAATATCCCTGATTTTTTCAAATGTTTTGTAATGAAAAGAATATAAGTTTTGTTAGCGAGGGTTACAACCCGTATTTTTCGAGAGTTCCTTTCTCGTGAAAAGTCGGGAAATTGTCTTACAAATTACGAATAATGGTTTTCTAATATAAAATGATGAAAATCAATAGACGCGTTTCGGTATAATATAATATTTTATTTAGGTGATAAACTAGCACTAAATCCTATTCAAACCACATAGACCAAAATGCGTAATTTTTTCATAGGTTATGGCCTGACGCAAAATATTAAGCATTCTGCATTAATGGTAATTGAATCGAATTGAAAGCTTTTTTTGTCAATATCACTGATTGTTTTCAATATTTTGTAATATTATAAAACGGTAACAACTCGCTTCGTTTTGTTTCCAAGGGTTAAAACCTTATATTTTTCGAGCGTTTCGTTCGCGTAAAAAATTATAAAATTGTCATACAAATAAATATTTTTATCTAATAATAATGCCTTTTTAATAGCAAGTGATGAAAATCAATTGACTTGTTCCAGTTTATATCTATTTTTTTAGGTGTGAGCTATTCCTAATTGTAAGAACAACTCTAATCATGTAGACATCTCTTTATTTCAGAAATACATATTTATATTTTTTATTACTCTATAATATAATGTGAACAATCCAGGTAATCTACAAAATTTAAATATCTATTTTGATAATTGGTTGTGTGCGAGATTGTAATTTTATATTATTTCTTTGATGCTAATTTATATTGAACAAAATAAAATAACAACATCTGATATTTCTCACGAAATTTGTTCTGTGGTTCTCTTGGGACAGTCATCAATTGAAACCCTTTGTCCGCTGGAACAACTTATCTTACGGTGATATCACATTTCCTCTCCACGAGTTTAGTAGAAAAACTGCTGTTTCA